AAGCAAAAAGCACTCAAAATTTTGTAAACAATTTGAGAGTCGACGAGAATCAAATGTTTTTTTAATGGATGCTCTATATCATGCTTATTCCTTGTCCAATTTATGAAAATTGAAAATCTCTTATTTACTATCAACAACATTTGCGCCTTTTGTCGTTTTATGTGCCCACTACTTAAAATTAATGAACCCTCGTGTCATCTCTATATACTTCCACATGTTCAGAATTTTTTTTTAGAAAATATATTTGGGAATATTTTGTATATACTTAACATATGCATGCATACATTATTCCGTACTTTTCTTGAGTATATGTTTTATAAATACAATTCCGGTATATAAAAAAATTTATTAATATAAATTTAGGCACGTGCCGTTGTTTGTCCAAGCACCTAAAAATTCCTCCAGCTCGTTGGGTAAAAAAAATGCTCATTTAATGAGGGGCATTTGATTTCTGGATAGATAAATATATAAGTATATATCTTTATATACAGATGTCTCTTGTACATAAGTGGCTACATATTAGAAAAAGACTGTCCTATATTTGACCTCAAAAAATATCCGGGACTGATATTTTGTTTTGGTTTTTTATTTTGTTTTGTGACTGCGTGGGAAAGTATAAAACTAATTGTAGGCGTTGAGGAAAATTTCTTCAGAAAGTCAAAAGATTACTGTGCAATCAGTTCGTGCGGAGCAGTCGTTGTGTTGAGAAGTGTTTCCAATTGGTGTCAAAGTTTTGCGCAAGGATTATAAAAAGGACATATAACATACACACAGTGGGCAAAATAGTATGTGATATATATTATAATATATATTAAAAGCAAATCGCAGATTAATATATATTAAAACAATTCTTACGCTAAGTAAAATTTTTTTCCTTAAAAAAAAATACCAATACAATTAAAATACCAAGATCTTGTTAAAAAATACTTTAGGTATTTGAAAATAAGTTTGCTTTGAACAACATTTTTCCCAAATTTCCTATTCCGAGTGCAAAAATAATGCTCAAAAACATTTGTTGCCATTAATTAACTTGCTATATCATAAAATCGCACAAGTTTCAAAAATATATTTTTATGCTTTTGCAAACCAAAATAGATTTATTCAATAAAAATTGTCACGCAAGTTCGCACATAAAACTGAAATTATGATTTCGCTTTAGCATTTTGACGAAGATATTTTCGTACCAGCTACACAAACTGTGGATTTTCCATATATAGAAATACACATATTTAGCCACACCCCTCTTTGTGGTTTTGAGGTTATGTTAAGTGTTAAGATCAAGATCGGTTAATTATAATAAAAACAAAAACGATTTTTCTTTACAGCTGAAGTCAGAATGCCAAGTGGTAAGGTAGATAAACCTGTTATTCAGGATAACCGTGATGGTACCGTCTCCGTGAAGTACGATCCACGCGAAGAAGGCTCCCACGAGCTGGTTGTTAAATACAATGGCGAACCCGTACAAGGTTAGTAGAAATTAAAAAAAATATTGTTGGAAATTCAATCAATAAGTCGTTTGCTCATACCCATTCCCTTGCTTTGGCAGGTTCTCCATTCAGATTCCATGTGGACTCCATAACATCTGGCTATGTGACCGCCTATGGACCAGGTTTGACGCACGGCGTCACTGGCGAACCCGCCAACTTTACCATCTCCACCAAGGGCGCCAGCGCCGGCGGCCTGACCATGGCCGTTGAGGGTCCCAGCAAGGCAGACGTAGGTTTCATTCACAATTTCATCCATCTGCAGTTTTTATACATTGAAACCTATTTCAGATCAACTATCATGACAACAAAGACGGCACCGTTTCGGTGCAATATCTGCCCACTGCACCGGGCGAGTACCAGGTTTCGGTGCGTTTCGGTGATAAGCATATCAAGGGCTCACCCTATTTCGCCAAGATAACGGGCGAGGGTCGCAAACGTAATCAGATATCGGTTGGCTCCTGCTCGGAAGTGACCATGCCCGGCGACATTACCGACGATGATCTGCGCGCTCTAAATGCCTCCATTCAGGCGCCCAGCGGCTTGGAGGAGCCGTGCTTCCTCAAGCGCATGCCCACCGGCAACATTGGCATTTCGTTTACGCCACGTGAGATTGGCGAGCATCTGGTGTCGGTGAAGCGTCTGGGCAAGCATATCAACAACTCGCCCTTCAAGGTGACCGTCTGCGAGCGCGAGGTGGGCGATGCCAAGAAGGTGAAGGTCAGCGGCAATGGCCTCAAAGAGGGACAGACGCACAGCGACAACATTTTCTCCGTTGACACGCGCAATGCCGGCTTTGGTGGTCTCTCTGTGTCCATCGAGGGTCCCAGCAAGGCGGAGATTCAGTGCACCGACAAGGATGACGGCACACTAAACATCTCCTATAAGCCCACTGAGCCCGGCTACTATATTGTCAATCTCAAGTTTGCCGATCATCATGTGGAGGGCTCGCCCTTCACCGTCAAGGTGGCCGGCGAGGGCAGCAATCGCAAGCGCGAGAAGATTCAGCGCGAACGTGACGCAGTGCCCATCACCGAAATTGGCAGCCAGTGCAAGCTGACTTTCAAGATGCCCGGCATCACGTCCTTCGATCTGGCTGCCTGCGTCACCTCGCCCAGCAATGTCACCGAGGATGCTGAGATCCAGGAGGTTGAGGATGGTCTCTACTCTGTGCACTTTGTGCCCAAGGAGTTGGGCGTGCACACCGTTTCGGTGCGCTACTCCGAGATGCACATACCCGGCTCGCCCTTCCAGTTCACGGTGGGTCCACTACGTGATTCGGGCAGCCATTTGGTAAAGGCTGGCGGCTCCGGTCTAGAACGCGGCGTTGTCGGTGAGGCAGCCGAATTCAATGTGTGGACACGTGAAGCTGGTGGCGGCTCGCTGGCCATTTCAGTGGAAGGTCCCAGCAAGGCGGACATTGAGTTTAAGGATCGCAAGGACGGCAGCTGTGATGTCTCCTATAAGGTGACCGAGCCTGGAGAGTATCGCGTGGGTCTTAAATTCAACGACCGCCACATCCCAGACTCACCATTTAAGGTCTACATCTCGCCCGATGCTGGCGACGCCCACAAGCTGGAGGTGCAGCAATTCCCACAGGGCAACATCCAGGCCGATGCGCCCTACCAGTTTATGGTGCGCAAGAACGGCGCCAAGGGTGAGCTGGATGCCAAGATTGTGGCGCCCTCGGGCACCGATGATGATTGCTTCATTCAGGTGATCGACGGTGAAATGTATTCGGTGCGTTTCTATCCACGTGAGAATGGCATCCATGCCATTCACGTCAAGTTCAATGGTGTCCACATACCCGACTCACCATTCAGAATCAAGGTGGGCAAGGATGTGGCCGATCCGGCTGCTGTGCATGCCAGCGGCAATGGTCTGGACGATATCAAGACTGGCCACAAAGCCGATTTCATCATCAACACCTGCAATGCGGGTGTTGGCACACTGGCCGTTTCCATCGATGGTCCATCCAAGGTGGCCATGGACTGCACAGAAGTTGAGGAGGGCTACAAGGTGCGCTACACACCGCTGCTGCCGGGCGAGCACTACATCACGGTTAAATACAACAACATGCATATTGTGGGCTCACCCTTCAGGGTGCATGCCACCGGCGACAAACTGGCCGATGAGGGAGCCCAGGAAACGTCCACAGTTATTGTGGAGACCGTCCAAAAGATCGCGAAGGGTGGCAAGAATACTGGCGTCCATCTGCCCAACTTCAAGTCCGATGCCAGCAAGGTGGTGTCCAAGGGTATGGGCCTGAAGAAGGCGTACATTGGCAAGCAGAATCAGTTCAGCATCTGCGCCACAGATGCGGGTGAGTAGAGCAAGTTTTCATTGTAAATCCCAGACCTTTCTCTAAGTCCATCATTCTGTTTGTGTCTAGGCAATAACATCCTGTACGTGGGCATGTACGGACCCAAGGGACCCTGCGAGGAGTTCCATGTGAAGCACGCTGGCCACAACAACTACAATGTGCAGTATCTGGTGCGCGATCGCGGACAGTATGTGCTCCTTATTAAATGGGGCGAAGACCATATACCCGGCTCCCCATTCCAGATCGATGTCTAGGCTAAGGCCAAACAATCATATAATAATACACATGCATAGATATACACCACCCCCCTCCAACCGTTCCCGAGTGCATTGTGAACCAATCCAATCTGTTCCAGGGTCCAAATTTTTTGTGTTTTCTTCATGATTGTCTTTGTTTAATTTTAATTCTTTGCCTATCATTATTATAAGTGATTATTATTTTTTGTTATTTGTACATAAAAAAAGAAATATAAATGTTTCGACTTGAACAATGTTTGCGCGCCATTTTCACATATCAATTGATTTGTTTTTGTGTGAATAATTAAACTAAATAAATACAAAAATTTAATGCATTCAACTAATTTTCAATAACGACTTGATTCAATTAAAATTACACAGCAAATGTTAAAAAAAACGCGAATAAATCTCTTAAACAATTATTTAATACTTAAGCAAACACTTATGAAGATGATTATTATGATTACGACGTATTATGTTTTTTTATTATCACTATCGACATGTAATTTACGTAAACTCAAATAAATAAATTTAAAAAATATTGCGTATTTTACGATTTCTACAGTTATATAAAATAATAGTAGTAGTAGATCTGAGATATTCATTACATTTTTAAAAAATAAATTCCTATAACTCGGATAAATTATATATGACAGAAATATTAGTTTTGGTATGTTTTGGGTGTATCTAACCTAATTGACAAATGATAAATGTTACCGACTCTAAGGGATCATTTGACAAAAATGTTCCAAGGGGTTACGTTACAATTTTTGCAAAAAAGGTTTATATCGAAATCGACAACTTGAGATGGCATATATTTTGAAGATCCGACTTAATCTACCGAATTACAGCAATTTAAAGTTTTTGAAAATAATTTAAAATAAATAATTTAAGAATTAACGGACCTCGCGTCAGCTAAATAAATATTTAAAATATGCAAAGGTCGCCAAAACCAGCTTTAGATTTGACATTTGAATATATATAGTTCAGTTCGTAAGTTTATTTAATTTAATTTGTTTCATTTGCATAATACAAATAATATTGTAGATTCTTCTTTTTGCCTCTATTAGCAAATCGTCGCTTAACATGCTCAGCTCCTTGGTAACAAATTTACCAAATTGTTCGGTTAGTTGTGCTTTGCGGGTCGATTGGCCAACGTTTGGCTGTTCTGTTGAGTCATCATGCTGCATCTCCAATTCGATGTCTTCTGGTTCTGTAAGTCTACTTCCGTCTTGAGCATTTTCATTATGCTCTACTGAGCTGTTGGTATCCGATTCAGGCTCTTTAGCTTTTTTCGAAGGCGGCTCGTCCTCAATGCAATCAAGCGAAGTACGTTCATATTTCAAGCATGTTTTAGGATAGATAGGCATGACTTCATCGAACCAATTAGACGACTCATCAAAATAACTAGAACTTCCGCTGTTCTCGGAGTACTGATCGAACTGGGTGGCTTCTAAAGCGCCCAAAAGTTCTGCCATTTTAGCATAGTGAATCCACTCTGAATCGAAGCCCACGCTATCCCTCTCTTTGCTAAAAAACCAAAAGTTCATTATTAGTTGGTGCACGGGATCTACACAATCAATGCCCATCTTACCGGAATTTACGAGTTAACGATTCAATTTTCGCTTTGACATCAGAATATCTGATTTCAATTCCCTGACTATGGAACTCCAATTCCATGTCCTTATATACATGCGACTTTTTTCTATCGCCTCGCAGATCTCGAACGTACTTTTGCCACACATCCAGGAATACTTGTTCTTCTTGCAGAATCCAATGTCTACGTCTTTGCTTAGGTTTTTCTAAAATTGCGTTGGAAATAGTCGATTCTGAAGCATTGGCATTATGTGCGCTGCTGTGCTTATGCTCTGCTCTTCTTGGAAATGGTCCATCTGTTGACATGGTGGATGAGGACGTTGTCTTAATGTCGTCGTCTTCAGTTTGTGAGTATTCTTCTTCATTGAAAAGCATGGGAGGCACCTCGTCGACATAGACAGAACTAAAAGTTCCATCTGGAAACCAAATAGATGTGTTTATAACTTAACGTTATTAATATTTGATTAGAAAACTTGCCTGAGCTTACTTCTGGCCTCTCAAATCGAGTTTCTTTCATTTCTTCTTGATATTCCATAATAGCGACCATTTTGTCAAAATTTTTCCATTGTTTCCTTGGTTTGTTTTCCCTTATAATACTGATATTTTGGTTATTAATTTTGCTCTAAAATGGCAATTCCACACATCGCTTGCAGCCAACACTTACTGACAATATTTCCTTTTAAACGATTCCATTTTAGCCTTAATATGTGCCGCCGATATGTCGATTCCCTGATTAATGAACTCGACTTCCAAGTCCCTATAAACTTCGGATCGTTTTTTTCCACAATGCAATGCACCCAGGTTGCTGTACCAGATGCGCAAAAATCTATCCTCTTCCGAGGGCGTCCAGCACCTTCGTTTGCCGCTCACTTAAAATATAATTAATATTTAAGCAATATATCAGTTAATTGTAGCATGTACTTACTTTAAAATGTTTTAAAATCGTTGTTTGCTTAAGTTAAAACTTTTGTTTGTCGCGAGTTGTAGCCTTCACCCAAGCATTTAAATCAAAACAATGCATAAAATGTTAAGGTTCCTATGCCAGCGTTGCATTGTGTAGCTGGTACGACACAAACTCGAATTTCATGGCCTGGAGACAATAAATACCGCTCTGTGACGTCATACGCCAGTTTATTTTGAACCTGTATTTTTCATGTACCATGAAAAGAAACACTAGCAGCTGTTGGCGGCGATGCCACGTTGTTAAAATTTGTAAACATTTTAATTTTAAATATTAACACTATATTATGTTACTTGTTTCGATCAATTTGCAGCATTTTTACATCGCATAAGATGTTGAAAATTTTTCTTTTGGCATCAACACGCAGGTCTTCGTCCAACCCATTCAACTCCTTCGCCACAAGCTGGCCAAACTCATAGTCGTGATTTTTAAAGTATTTTTCGTCTAATACCGTACATGATACGCGACTTTGGTTAAGCTGACAGTCGTCTTCATTATGAGAATTGTCTAGCATCGTTATATTGGGAAAATAGGGTTCTAGAACAAACTCTTCGGCGCAGCATTTGGTATTTTCGGTAAGCTTCATTGAATCGCATTCCTCAATGTAAACGGAGTTAAAACTGGCATCTAAGGGACATACAAACCAATTGCTCAATATAAACTACATATTTATTTGTCAGAAAATTCGGCTTACGTTCGTTGTAATCTGCATGTCGGCTGACCATGCTTACATCCATTGATTCCAGTATTTGACCCACCCTTGAGAAGTGAATCCACTTGGATACTACATTTTTTGCCCGTTCGGCTCTACAGATAAGTATAAGCTTTTAGTATAATTTAGATTCAAATTAAGCTAAGCTTTATGCTCTTACCTGAACTTACGAACATAAGTATCTATTTTTGTTTTTATGTCCATTGTTTCAACGAAAAAACCACGTTTTGCGAGGTCTTCTCGCATTTCTTTATAAACAATAGAATGCTTTTTGCTTCGCTTAAGTTGCTCGGCTCTTTTGCCCCACGAATCAAGGAAACATATCTCTTCTGATGGGGTCCATCTTTTCATCTTCCTTCTGCAGCTCCCAGAACGATCATTGCCCATTATTTGTTTTTTAAGTTAGTCCTTTGGATTTTTTCTTATTAAATTACAGCGGTTCGATCTGTTTGGATATATTTGGGATAGAGTTGCCCAGCGGGTTGCGGAATTGCGCTCCGTTCTGAGTGACTTTTATTAACATGTGCAATTGTTGATTTCACAAGCAATACCCACTACTGCCAACAAAACCTAGGTTTCCTTTTAAATATTGTTACCAGCAATTCGTAGACCTATAGTTTCTTATGCTGCTTATCGTATGCTATTTTGAATTTTTACAAACCTCACAACCAGTTCCAATCGTCAACAATAAACAGCTGATTGTAGCCTCAGGCTAACAGAGCCGCAACAGAGAACGTTAACGCAGCCACGAAACTGTTATGTTCGTTTCGTTAAGTGGGAAATTAACACATCTTACTAAGAGCATAAAAATACTTGGCGCCTGAATTTCAAAAAAATGTACCACCCTTAAATAATATTTTCAATGGAGTTGGGTATTAAAAAAATGATAATTAAAATTTAAGTAATTACATTCTTTATTTATTTCATTCTTTATTTTAGTTAAATATGCTTTTAAACTTATTTACATGGTTGTGCACTAAGCGAATAAATTTAGTGTTAGGCATTACAAAATACATAATAGATAACTTCTACATTAATAAGTTAAATATGTAGGTTTTACTTTCGCAATACTTTATACCTTGCGTTAAGGACACTCATTTTTCGCACCCACCAACTGAGGCAGCATACTCCATCCATCACTTGCAGTAGCATTTTTCACAAGTTCAATTGGTTTAATACAAGTTTAAAATATTATAATTTTTTTTGGTTAACTTAGTGCTAAATAGCTTAGTAGTATAGTTTCAATTGTCTCTGTTTTGATTTATTTTCTTCTTTTTTTTTATTAACTGACAGTAACATACGTAAGTGTTAAGATTTTTCCCAAGCAGCATTAGGAAGAGTGCTAAATAAAAATTAAATATTTTAACTTTTGCCAAACGGAATGAGGTGATGGCTATTGTTGTGATAATGCAAATAAGCTATAGTTTTAAGCTTCTTTTTTTTTACCATTGTGATTGCGGTTTTTTTTTTTTAAATAGGAACGTTAAGAAAAAAACTCAAAATAAATTACAATAAAAGAAGCAAACGAGCGACTGACTTAGAAAATAAATAAATATACAAAATACACTTGCAAAAAGTATAATAGGTTATTAATCTTAACTAAGTTGGCTAACTTACAAGTTTATATCACTTTTCGCAAATAATTCGTTTTTCTTTTTAAATTAAATTATATTGAGGCTGTTGAATAATAAAGTCGCGTATGATTTTGTTTTGTTTCTGTTTTTGGTTGAAAAGCTGCAAAACTAGGTTTAAGTTATGTTGCTTAAAAGATGTTGATCTGGAACTCGCTGACAATGCCCTCGAGGAAACCTTTGAGATTGTCATAAGAGTGGGTGCGCCAATAGATATTATCATTGACCTGCTCCATGGCCAAGCCAATGGCTAATTCGACGGCCTTCAGGCCCAATTTGCGGCAATTGGCGGCCAATGCCTGCAGCTGCTGTTTGTGATAGTCCTTGTTCATGTAGATGGTCAGGGATTTGATCATCTCGGATATGGTGGAGAAGCCATCGCCATAGCTATAAATGGAGTGCATGCTTTAGCTGCGCAAAGTATAATAATTAACAGGGGCACTCACTAGTCCGCAATTTCCTTGATATTGGTCTGAAGAAAATCAAATGCGATCTCATAGCCAATCGCATTGGAGGCCACAGCTCGGAAGGCCAAGGCGCCATCCTGTTTCAGGATACCCGACGTCGAATTGATTGTCAAATTTAGATATCTGTGCGAGAGTAGTACACCATTAATTAAAGATCAAAGAGCTAATCATCAGTTTTATAATATCGATAAATATCGATTTTGAAACACGCTTTAAAGCAAAGCTCGACAATTATAAGAACTAGATTGAACTGTTTTAGCATGTAAGGATTACGAATATTTTACATATTGATACTCCCCCAAAATGTGAAAATATTCGTTTTTAAAGGTAAAGCTTTGCGCAATCTGGGTTCAGGGTATCTCATAGTCGGGAATAAAGCAAAACTTACTTGGACAGCAGCCAGGGCTTGGTGGTGCAGCCGAGCGATGTGAGTATCTCCTCCTTTTCCGAGGCGCTATTCGTCCGTTTGTACTGCTTGTAGGCAAAGTACCATTCTTGATAGGAGCCCTCCGCCAACGCCGTGCAATATATAACCGATTTCAGATTGGGCTTGATGCTGCGCCAGAAATTGAGTTAAGCTATGGATATATCTGGCTGACAGTGTAAAGTCTACTCACGGATTCTTTTTGGCATCGCGCATCCATTCGCGGAACTTCATTTGGGCCACCTGTGTGCAGCGATCGTAGTTGAATTTGCAGGCGAAATTGGCCACCAGCGCCCGATGCTTGAGCTGCAGGTGGGACTCATTGTCCGGCTCATTGAGTCCATAATGATCGAAGGCGGGGCGCACTATGAACTTCATAAAGGCCTAGTGGAAAAAGAAAAGCGTTCAATATAAGCGACAAAACCATTGTAGCTACAATCAGATAAAAACTAGTTTCAAAGTTTGATTAATTTATTGGACCTAATGCAAAGTTTTTTTAGTTCGTGTAGAAGGTCAGACTTACCCTGAAGGTCTCATAGGCGGGCTCCCGCTTCAGGTTGTAGATGAGATAGTTGAGACCCGGCTTGGCTGCGCTCCACAGCAGCTCATCGTCCACGGCTGTGAATAGCTCCATTAAGAAAGTTAAGCTGCAATTGCGTATAGTTAAATCGGGGCTGTTCCTAGAAGGTGACAGGTCTATAGCTTACGGTATATCGTATGGCAGATACTCCGCCTGCGACAGATGCAGTGCATCGTCCAGCAGCTGGGCGCGTGTGATGCGTGGCAGAGTGCTGAAGTTCTTCTTCAGTGCCAGCCAGGAGGTCAGGTCGTAGTTGACGCGATAGTAGCTCTGCCTGTTTAGGTTCAAATAGACAACGTTGTCGCTATTGTCCTGCTTGGTGAAGACATCGCTGATCACCAGCTGCTCCTGCTCCTGGGTCATCCAGTGTGTTGGTACATTATCGCCTTTGTGCAGCTCATCCGTTTCATAGGTGATGGGTATGAACCAGCGGCTGTGATCCAACGGGTTTCGTGCGGGCAGCAAATAACGCTCCTGACGCAGCACCAAATCGGCACCATTACGCTCCACATGCACCACCGGGTAGCCGGGTTGTGTTATCCAGGAGTCCATGATCTGTTTGACATTCATGCTCTTGGGCAGGGTGCCCTTGGCGTGGCCATGGCGAGTGAGGAACGCCCAGAGATCATCGCGATTCATGTTCTCGTAGGCAAATGTCTGCAGCAGATCCTGTGTGGCCGCACGGAACGCCTCGTCGCCCACAATGGAGTTCAGCATGCGAAGCAATATGGTGCCCTTGGAGTAGCTAATGGGATCAAAGATGCGGCGCACATCGTTGGAGGTCTTCACATCGAAGGAAATGGCATGGGAGGTGTTGGCCGCATCATGTTGCATGGACTCCTTGAATTCCTGCAAATTCGAATCAAATGTTGAGAGTTGGAAAGCTGGTGACTCTTTGGTAGGATATCACTTACCAGCACCGTAAACGTATCCATAATCTGGAACTCGGGATGCACTTGGTTCAGCGCCTTGTAGCTCATGTAGCAGGCAAAGCCCTCCTTCAGCCAGAGATCATCCCACCATTTGGGCGTGACCAGATTGCCAAACCATTGGTGGGCCAGCTCGTGGGCTATGATCTGTGCCACGTACTGCATGTGCTCCGACGAGGAGGCCAGCTCCTGATCCTCTGGCACCAGCAGAGCCGAGTCACGGAAGGTAATAAGACCCCAGTTCTCCATGGCGCCAAAACCAAAGTCCGGCACCGAAACGAGATCGATCTTGGGCAGCTTGTTCTTGATGCCAAAGTACTCCTCGTAATATGGCAGGAACTTGCGCACCATCTTATAGGCATAGTGGGTCATGTCCACAAAAGTGGGTCGTGTCCAAATCTCTACGCGCGGCACAAGGCTGCCATCGAGATCCGCAAAGCGCGAGTCAATCATGTTGGACACGATGAAGGCCAACAAGTAGGTGGGCATTTTGGGCGTGGTCATGAAATCATCGCGAATAAAGCCGGGGCGATGGGGGCTGTGGGACAAAAGGATGGGTTATAAATGAACTTAAAATAAGATTATTTGATTTAAACTTATTTAAAGAATCAATTTTTTTTTTAAATTATAAATTGGCTATACGTAAGTTATATTTATTTCGTTTTTAGTTTAAGATACTTTAAAAGTTGATTAAATATTAATTTTCTAAAAATTTAACTTAAACTACGATTTACCGTACTAGGAATAATAAGCGGTTAAAAACGAGCTTAGTTTGTTTAAAAAGTAATTTAAATTCAGATTATCCGAACTGAAAAAGTCATACTATAAAAAAGTAAAAGTTACTTCAACCAAGTAAACCCGCTCCTACAGTACTTTTACCCCATTTTTACTTTGACAAGTATAAAATTTCGAAGTCTTCTCTTCGTATAGGTATAGTTCTGAGGAATGCTCACCTGCTGCGTGCTTTGGGCATATTGGACAAGCACATGGTCCTCTTAACATCTCGAATGATGCTTATGGTGAAGTTGGCCTTCATATCAGGACGATCGAAGCAGGGAAAGGCGCGGCGCGCATCAATCGGCGAGAACTGGGTGCTGATAACCCATCTGAGAGAAAGAGTGCAAGCATTAAGGATCTTTCGCAATATTCAACACAATTCACATTACTTACTGCAACTGCTTGGCCTCTGGATTGGTGTAGCTGGTCTTGTAGATGCCCTGCAGCGTATCTGTCACCTGACTGACAAAGTCCAGGCTCAGCCACAGACGTAGTTTGGGCTCCGTCGCCAAATCCTTGGCCAGTCTAACCACAAAGGTGGCATTGTTGTCGCCGTAGTCGCTGTCAAAGTCCAGTTCCAACTCCTCGCTGCCGTTGGCAATGGGAGCTCGTATGACGCGCACATTGGAGATGCTGACATTGTACACATCCAGGACAATTGGCTCCCAGCTGGTCACCTTGGCGTCTCGTTCGATTTCAATGGTAACGCTGCCATTGCTGGCGGACGACTCGATATTTGGCTCAATGACAATTCTGTAAAAAGGCAGGATGGCAAAAGGTTTTGGGTAAGTCATTAGCCAACCATTTAAGTGCAGGTGCAAATAGTTCTAAT